GAAACAGTCATTGTTTCTTAAGCCAATGCTGAGAGGCAATTAAAAACAGTAAGAGTAGTCCTGGCATTAGAAGTGGCAGCCAGCATCAAAGCGTTTATTATGGCCTATTGTTGAACTGCTAGCCTGTCCGCTCTGATAAAACATGCTAAAGCATGCATAAAACCATTCCTCGGTCTGTTTTGATGCCATGCCTCCTTGGCTCTCAAGAAGACCGCTTAAATATTAAAAGCCATGAAATGTGGCAAAATGTTCTTGTGAGTGTTCTTTTCCAATCGTTGGCGTTTTGAGACAGAGATCCTCCTTCTTGAGGTGAGCATCTAAAAGATGCGATCTGCTGCAGCTACATCCCATAATGCTCAGAGAGAGTGCAATCACAGGTAAAGCAAAAAAACGAGAAAGTGAAATAATGACTTCTGGTGTGAGTTTCTAATTGTCAGGGTGACAGATTTATATATGGATGTTTTATTTACACATCAAACGAGATGTTGGCATTTCTGTGTCATAAACCAGAGCTGCACTCTGCAAAAAAAACAAAATCTTACCAAGTAACTTTGGTCTAGTTTCTAGTGCAAATATCTTAGTACTCTTAAAATAAGACAAAACTAACTTACAAGTAACTTTTCAACTAGAAATAAGAGCTTGTTTTAAGTCAATAATTCCTTAATAGTGATAAAAAGGTATTAGTTCCAAATCACAGATTATTTCACCAACATGGGGAAAATGTCTTGTTATAAGTAAAATAATCTGCCAATTAACCCATTTAACAAACACTCAGAGAACTATGTTGTCTCCATGCAGCTCCTTGCATGGAAACGACAGTTTGAGAAATTCTCCTTTAAAATCTTAAATAAATCTGCGTCAGCTACAAGTCGTAGAAATAAGACCAAATCAAACTTTTTATGCCGCTAAAACCATGAGCTAGCCTCTTGATGATTAGATAACCTTCCCTATAAGTATCTTCACAGCAGCTTTGAGAAATTATGTTTTTATTTTATCAAACCCTGTTAAATTATAGAAGATCTGTGGCCTTCTGTTTGTTCTGTTCATTTTTGACACCCATTGTGGAGCAGAGCTGCTTGCAATCCTCTTAACTAAAGTGGATTTTCTCCATTTGAAAGAGCAGAGTTATTGTTCATTTGGACATTTTATCACATTGCTCGGAAACGTGTGTGTTTTGCACTGATAGCTGCAAGTCTCAGCAAATCTGATTTAATAAAGAGAGATGTGCAGCTCATAATTGCAAGTGACAGGTTATTAAGTTCTTACAGCGTGTGAGATCCGAGTTCAAGCCCCAGGAGATCAGTTGTAGTGTGTAAAGTAAATTAATGCAACTGCTCAGACTCTTCCAGCACAACATGTTGATTTTGAGTTTATTTAAATAGAAGTATCTCCAAAATTGCTTAAAAATTGAAGACCTGCCAACACAAAGACATAAAAATTAAGAGCTAGCCTCATGCCAAGTGGCTTTCCACTTTACTCAAGATTAGCCACTTAGCTTTTAGATATTTTCATGTTTTTTTAGCTCCTGTAAATTTTGTTTACTGACTACATAAATCTGCTCTCCACTGAGTTTGTCTTGTGCATCATCTTCCACAGCTGCTATGAAAGAGCTGCAAGCGATCCACTTAAGAAAAATGATTACTATCCATTTGAAGGAAGTTTTTTCTTCATTGTCTTACGTTGCACCACTAACAAATGCATGTTTGCACATAACAACGAGCCTCAATCTGGCCTTAATGAATAGAGATGTTCACCTCACCCTTCAAAATGGCGGGTAATGAAGGAGATCCAAGTTCAAGCACCAGCACTGCTTCTGCAAAGCACAAAATAAGCTAATGCTACCAGCCAGGTGATGACACAGCAACATTATGACCAGGAATGTTATTAAAACAAGGATGTCTCTGAAATTATTTTTTAAAAATGGTTGTTTCTCTGGTGAAATTTTGCTCCTTTTTTTTTTTTTTTACTTTTGGACAGTTATGATGCGTAACCATTTCAACCAAGTGTTTGTTGTTTAACAACTTTAAACAGCTGAATTAGCATCTCAAAGTCTTGAATAACTCCTGAACTACGACCCCAAATTAAAAGGAAATTAAGAGCAATGCTTCATGGATTCAAAGAGCAGAGAAAGAAGCAGGATGTTCAAACCACCAAGCATCAAATCCCCAACTCCAGCATCTCTCTATAACACAAACAAACTGAGGTTTAAAAAGTAGATACAAAAACAAACAAGGTGGAGTAGCAGTGTTTGCCAAAGGCTGCTGGTGTCATCACGATACTGTGGAATATCATCATCTGCTGCCTGGAAATTTAGCTGTTAGCATGTCATGTTAGCATCTTCAGTCAGAGGCTTCTTGAGGTTTGTTGCGAGACTGACTGCTACCAGACATCAACATCCACAATGACTCTGAAGAAACAAAACATTCAGTGTTGTTGAATTGAACTGAAGACAAATGTTAAAACAAATGTCATATTGCAAAACCCAGAGTTCCCAAAAATTGTACTCAAATAAAAGTAGCACTACTTCAAAATATTTTAATATTGAAGCAAGTAAATACTCAAGTAAGAGTCAAAAAGTAATTGAGTTACTCAATTACAGAGTAACTGATCTAATCATCAATCATTTAATGTTTAAAAATTACATCATCAGAACCAAAATATAAAGTTAAGAGGAAATTTTGGTATTTTAAGGACCAAAATGACAATAATTCACGTAAAAAACAAAAAAACAACAATATCGGGCATTTTTCTAAATCAGTTTCTTTCAATAAAAAAACTGACAAATTTAACAAAAACTGCAGCTTACTCAAGTAGAAGTAATTGAGTAAATGTGACTAGTTACTACGCTACTCTGGCTAAAGCCAGTAAAATAAAGAGACTACCTTAAACAAAGTAGCAGATTTTGGAAATGACATCATGTTGTTACACTATATGTTAATTTCTTTTTATGTGTTTTCAGCTTTTCAAAAAAAAAAAGATTAAATGCAGAAGACATTTGTCTTTAAAAATGATCTATAAACATGTCTCTTAACTAAAACAGATGCTCTACATGTGGAGGAATGATTTTTTTCTCTCTCTCTGCAAACGTCGCCTTGCAAATGCATGTTTGCACTGATAGCAACAAGTCTCCACAAATCTGGCTAGACGAAGAGACGTGCGCCTCACGCTCACAAGTGACAGGTTATTAGGTTCCTACGATGTGGGGGATCCAAGTTCAAGCAGAGGAAGCAGAAACCCACATGCATTAATCATAACTGATTTATTGAGAAATGACCTCAGAGGGCAGCTGGTCAATTTCTCTGTGCCCCACAGGGCACTGCGGTTTGCTGCTGCTGCATGAATATCCTCACAGCAAGACAAATCATTTACCAATTCACTTTAAAAGTGAACATAAGACAAAAATGTTAGATTTAGTTTCAGTATCTTTTAAACAGGTGATTAAAGACATTAGAAAATAAGATAAAATCTTTCATAGAAAGTGCAAATTTCAACATCATCTATTTTTGTTTGGTTGTTGAATTTATGCAATTGATCCTCCAGCTCCAATCTGTCATACTCTGCAGACTCATGTTCTGAATGCAGATAAAATCAGTTTTTCTCTGCAAAGAATAAAATGTGCTGCTGAGTCTGTGAGACTTCAAAGCTGTTTTTCTCTGCTCTCTTGCCAGGGTCATCACAGATAGCCGGCAACTATCTGGCTCCCCAGGCAAGACTTAAAGCTTTGACTAGTGGTATGCGGTTAGAATTCAAACCTCGGTTCAGCATTCAGTCGAGCAGCAACAACAGCAGCAGAAGTAACAGCCGCACACACATGCAAGCTGAGGCAGAGTGAAAACTATGAAAAAGATATATATTGGCAAAACAGCCCTGAAAAGCCAGAGAAATGGATGCAAACATCCAAAAAGAAGGTAAGAAAAATCGGCTTGAACCGTCGTTTTAAACTTTAAACATTGTTCATCTGCACATCTTCTATTATCCACCATCTGCTTCCACTTGAACAAATAAACCATTAATCTGATTATGGTGCTTTCTCTAGCTGAAAAAGGGAGGAATCTAATGAAGTTAGGGTCATAAACAGTGGCGTCCCTACAGGGGGGAAAAAGAGGGACCATTACCACTACTGTTGAAAAAACAACAACAAAAAAACAGCTATTTTGCTGACTACGAATTGTTGTCCTTCCATCTGATTGTTTTGTTCTTGCGAAGGTCTGAAATAAACCTAAAGCTAACAGCCGCACAGCCGAAGGTAACGGTGAAGCTAACGTGTGAAGCTAACAGTCAAAGCTAACATTTGAAGTTAACAGATGAAGCTAACTGTTGTTTTGCTGATTCTGCATCGTTTTCTTTCCATCTGACTGTTTTGTTGAATGAAATAAAGCTGAAGCCAAAGCTAACAGCACTTAGAATTGCCTTGATTCTGAAAATGTGCTATATAAATAAAATTACCTTTACTTATCTAACAGATGAAGGTAACAGGTTAAGCTAACGGTACCCCTTAGTTGGCTGTGCAGAAACTTTGAGATGTTGCGACTCAAATATCCATCAGTTCAGCTAAAAGTAAAAAATGAAGCATCACTGGGTCTGCAGTTAGTGTGTTTTTATTGGAAATTCTTAATTTCTTCTTCCATTTTACCATCTAGCTAAAAATAGAAGCACAGAAAGCTTCTGTCCTACACTTTTAGACCTCCTTGTGACTCACCAGTGGTCTGTGTCTGTGGCAAAAATCCGGTCCTCTACATTCTGAGATTGGATTAGGCCGATGTGTAATGAAATTCACCGCTACACCAATGGGAGATTGGGAGATGTTTGTCCTGGTCGTACCGCCTCACTCCAAATGAAACATTTTTAGTATTCTCCCTCCGTCCATCTCCTCCTTCACATCTCTCCAAATCCAAACTGAGTTACATTTCATCTATGCTTCACTCCCTCTGCCTTTCTTCGCCGTTTTCTCTCTGTTGTGACGATGAGGTTCTCCTAACCGCCCCCTATCATCTGTTCAGCTCTTTCCACGACCACAAGGACGACCTCCGCAAGCGCCTGTCGTACACCACACACAAACTAGAGATGGTAGAGACAGAGTTCGACTCCACCCGGCAGTACCTGGAGACGGAGCTGCGGCGCGCCCAGGAGGAGCTGGAGAAATTCACAGAGAAGCTGCGCAGGTGTGTGTGTGTGTGTGTATGCGTGTAATAACTAAATCATGATGTGCCATGTCAAATTACTGCTTGGTATCACAAACATGCTTGTGTTTTAGTATTCTGTTCCTATGGTGTCACATTCCTGCCAAAATCTGAGACAGATATATAACTTCTTTTCTTTTTTTTTACCATACTTGTTAAAACTGTCACTATGTTATGACAGTTTGCTATGAGATAAATAATCTGTGAAAAAAAATCTATTTCCTGCAAGTCCTCCCTGAGATACTGAAGAAATGCACCCAACAAAAACCAACCAATCAGAGCCAGGAGGAGAGTGTTAGCGCTGTCAATAATCCTCAAGTACTCGCTCAACTTACAGTTACAGGAAAGCCGTTTATCAGCCATTATCAGGTCATGCCGCCATTACCTGAAGTCACAATATGCTACGCTAGCTGTAGCGCAGCAAAAAGAAAAGAAAGTGGTGATTGACAGCGCTAAGTCCCGCCTGCTGGCTCTTATTGGTTGTTTTTAGTTAGCACTGGGAGAAGGTAGAGAAGCTTGATTTTTTTTAATATATTATCTCTCACAATAGTAACAATTTAGACAAATATGTAAACATTTTCTGTTTTGTGTCCATAGTTTAAGAAGAAAATAAATGTGCCAAATATTAATATAATACACATCTTCAAACAAGTCGTCATCAATGTTCTTAAGCCTTATTTTAATCATTTTATTTTAACCATTGTTTTAGAGTAAAACCTGATCAATGGAGAGTGACCAAGAAAACATGCCAAACAAAAATAATTAAATCATCATAAAGACTTCATGCAATAATTTGAAAAAGGTTTAAAAACACCAGTTATGTTTCTCATTTAAACTATTTCTAGGGAGAATTTTAAATCAGTTTCAATGACTTTTGCTAATTATTCCATAACCAAGGAGCAGCGTAAGAAAAAGCTTTTATATTTTTTATTTCACTCCTGACACGTTTCCCAAGTCAGCCTTTTAAATAAATAATGATTTTTGCCACAAGAGCAAAGCAAAAAGTTCAACTTAAATGTGAAATCAGAGTAAAAATAAAATCTGAGACCGTTACACCTTTACAGGACATGACATAGCATAATTTAGCTTATTAAACTAGATTAATGTTATTAATACTCCTCTCAGTCTTATGATCTCTAACCAATCTGCAGGATTGAATCTTGACCTTTGCATTAAGTGAATTAGCACTAAAAATGTACTTCAGTTAATGATTGCATTAAAAATCTATGGGAACTGGTAATCAGCTCAGTTTTATTATTGATCACATTAAGATCTGGAGTGCAGTGAAGTATTTCCTCTCTCGTTAGAGATTTCTTCTGTTTTTGCTGCGGGTGTTGTTATACTCCAGGACTTACTGATTATTGCTTTTAAAGTTTTCACAAAATAAGCTTCTTCATATAGGAGAATTTTTGACATTTAAAGGGGGGATAATTATGCAAAATTCACATTTTGTATTTTTTGTACTTCCATCTGGGTATCTACTGCTTCTAAAACCCCTCCAAGACAGTTTTTGGTGATAAGTTAACAGAAAATGAGCTGCTTTAAAAACATCCAGGATGTAACGTCACAAATAAGCAGGAACTCCCCGTTACCTAGCAACCCAGCAGAGTTCTGCCTGTTACCTAGCAACCTGAGCTGAGTTCCAGCACACTTGGTCAGCTGGTTTTACTGCTGAGTTCAACGTTTCCTGGAAAAGACAAAGTGTTTTGTTGTTGACTCTCCATCCAGAAACCACTTGCTGCGTTCTTGCTGGTTGTGCAGGACGCACCACTTCTGCTTTTCAAGGATGTATGATTGTATAATAGCACATCTGTTTGCAGCCATTTTCAGATGCGAGTGTAAACATTGATTTGGTGGGCGTGGCCAGCAGCAGCTTATTAGGGTTTAAAGTAACAGATCCCTAAAACAGACAGGCAGAACTGAACAGACTAAAATCTCATTATCCAAGATTAATTTGGTACAAAAAAAGTAAAAACATGTTTTGTAACGCCCACAGATCTGTCCTAACCTGTACAGGGAAGCATAACAGGTCACCTGTAAGCTTCGAGTTTATTTACCTGCTTGGTAAATAAACTTCAGAGCAGCAAGATTGAAAGCACCAGGATAGTGAAATAGTTTAATGTTTTCTGCAGCCATAGTAAAAATCAAAGCGATAAACCTGCTCTCTCAACAAACTTTCCCATTTTGGCAAAAAAAAAAGGGAGAACGCAGTTAAAGGTGCATAAAAATGTTCAATCCCTATTTATTATTGACTTTTAAACTCTAGAACGGTTCTGACTAGCTGATCTCCGTCGTCGCCCTCAGCGTTGCCTCTGAAGATGACAGATTTTATTTTCCCTCGTTCTCCTGCCGTTGCTTTGTTATGTCCAATTATAATCCTTATTTTGCCTTTCGCGCCTCTAACAGGCCTGAGTTTTATGGCTTGTTTTGTTTATGGTCTCTTGCGCCCACACTCCCCAGATCTGTCCGGTTAATGGAGCCATAAACGGCTGTTTATAAACCACATGAGTTAATATTATAATATGTGCTAAATAAAAAGGCGAGGTAGTAAAAGAAATGCTTTGACTGTAACTATTGATTCTTGGAAGTTTAATAGGAATACTGAAAGCAAGCCAGGGAGAAAAAAGGCTGCACAAAAAGCAGAAAACAAAAACTTTTACGTTTTACTTACTCAAATGTGGTTGTAACTGATAGATGTGGGCAGAAAGAATCTCCTGTAGCTGTCTGTGTTACAGCAGATCAAAAAAGCCTCTGATTTGTAGCATTCAAATCTCATAAAGCCAAAATCTGAGTTGAGTATCTTGAACAATAATCTCCAGATTAGATTAGACAGTCTCCATTATACAGAAAGTGATGCATGGATGAAATTAAAAAGCTTTAAAAAAAACAACTATATCACATAGAAGCTGTGTTTCCATTGACCAGTTGCACAATTTGCAAATATGAAAATAAGCTTTCTTAATCAAAACACGTAAATTTAGTTAAAAAAAGGACATTTCGCTAAACGGAAACAGTTTTTTCGCATCACATCAAACATGTGATCAACAACCAGATATTAATACTGGCGGAAACGCCAAAAAAGACGACAGGAAGTAGTTGGAGAATTATGGCGCAGCTTGTTTTTTAATGACTTAAACTTATTCCCATGTGATTTTAATTGCGTTTCTCTTTTAATGGAAATGCTGAAGTTGCAAAATTGTGTTTTTTATTTTCGACAATAGTGGAAAATCGCCAAAGTTTTGCTAACATTTGTAAGAGAAGTCCAGAAATCTGATGATAATTTTTTTACTCACTGGTTCTGATATGGAGCTTTAGCAGTTTAGAAGCTAAACATATATATTTTTCTAGTCTGTGAAGCAGCACACCTATCAATTTGCACTAACGATATTTTTCCAGTGGAAGAAACTCAAAGTTAGATATTTTCTGTATCTGTGGAAGAACAGAAAATAAAGAAGCTGCTAAAACAGAGACAGTTCACAGAAAGCAGCTGATTACATGTACGTACCTTTCTTTTGTTTAGAGAAAATTTAAAAATTTGAGATTAAAATTCACCCAAAAAATCTCTGATCAGTGCAAGATGATTATGGTTATTTTATATAATTGTTGTTATGAATGTTTTAGTTCATATTTTTCTTGTTCTTTATTGATTTCTCTGTTTTTTTAGGATCCAAAGTAGTTACTCGTCTCTTCAGAGGATCAACCAGGATTTAGAGGACAAGATGTGCAGAACGGTAGGAAAACCTGATATTTTATAGCACAAGTCTCACCTTGGTTAGCCTTAGAAAACATGTCTGTCAGAAGATGCAATCAAAGTGTATTGATTATATATTTAATAGATTGGTTTTGACTTTCTGTTCTTGTCCAGCTTCTTGGTTTTTACATAAAACCATTTCATTGTTGCTTTTTAATGCCTTCACTCAGTTTTCATATCTGAAATGTTCCTCTTCATAAATAACTCACATTATTTTTGATATAATGAGCTGAATTTTATTCAGATGGAATATAAAATGAAATTTGTAAACATAAATGCATTGGAAATCCATGTGTTTTCTTAAGAAAATACCTCAAAATTAAGCCGTTGTGAATGTGTGTTGGGTTGTTTTTTCTGGTATTTTCAGTGACTTTAAAAGAAAATAAAGTATTTTAGTATAATTTAATTTTGAAAGGCACATCAAACATTTTCTTAGTTTGGGCTGGAATTACTTCAGTCAAAAACATGAAATTGTCCAGTTACCAGGAAACCAGGAAAGTGTTAGTTTCTGTTTTTACCTCTGAAGTTACAGTTGCCTTGGCAGCTTTTCTTTCCTGATGTTTCAAGATTGTTACCCTCACAGATTTAGCATATCTGCAGCTACATCACCACATTTTGTCTCTAAACTGTGAGAAAATTTAAAATTTTTTTTTTTTTTTTTAAATTGAGACAATATGTGTTAATGCACATTTACACATACTCTAATCTTACTCTATTTAAGTTATTGTGCAGAAATTTGGGGCAATAATTACACAACTACACAACAAAAAAGAGCAGTAGGGTTGTAGAAGTTGCTAACCGCTAGCCTAAACAAACATAATTGGGAACTAAACATTTTTGTCAAAGTTTCAGGGTGTTTTGGTTCAACTGGGGACCAAAATTGCAGCATTTGTAACATTTTCAGTTGCTGCAGTTCGCTTTCACGCAGAGCCAAACCAATTGAAACAGCTGTTCCCCTCCTCAACTGTGGGGGCGCTGCACCAAAATCTATTGAAGGAAATGACACAAAAACCTCTAAAGAAAACATGATCGCAACTTCCTTCTTTACAAAATCTGAACAAAAATTAGGTAATTCCAGATTTTAGTAGCTGTAGGATTTCTCTTTTGGCTTTGGTATAAAACTGCAAGCCATTTCACAGCCAAAACATAAAATCTTACCAAGTAACTTTAGTCTAGTTTCTAGTGTAAACATCTTACTACACTTGAAATAAGACAAAATTAACTTACAAGTAACTTTTCAGTAAAATACAGGATCTTGTATTGAGCAATAATTCCTTAATATTAATAAAAAGTTTTGTCTTATTTCAAGTATACTAAGATATTTGCAGTAGAAACTAGAGCAGAATTACTTTGTGTTTTTGCAGTGTTCTCCCGCTAACAGTAGACTCTATGTTCATCATCTCTGGGAGGAAAACTGGAGAAAATCCATGGATGCATATGGAGAAACTGTGAACTCCAGCAGAACTACGACTTATTTTTACTCAAGTAAAAGTAAAAAGTAGCCAAGAAAATACTCAATTAAGAGTAAAAAAGTATTTGGTAAAACATCTGTACTCAAGTGCTGAGTAACAGATCTAATATCAATCATTTAATATTTAAAAATCACATTATCAGACGGTCCAAAATAGAAAGTTAAGTGGAGTTTTTGGTATTCTACGGACAAAAATTACAATAATTCATATAAATATTAAACAAATAACTAACATTTTTAAAATCAACAAAAACTGCAGGTCTGGTGAATTTTTGATTAAAACATGTTTGTTTTTCATTCAGTGGGTAGAAAATCCAGAAATTTTACTCAAAAGTAAAAAGTAAGCAGAATTTTTTTTAACTGTCAGGTAATTGAGTAAATGTAACCAGTTACTAGCCCCGTATCTCCCATAACTGTTACTCATCTTTAATTCACTAAGAAAGCTATCAGTCATGTTTGTACAACACATTCTCACTCCCAACTCGTCAC